TGCATGGTGGTCCCGGGAAAGAACCGTTACGTGCGGTGTGAGTTGTAAATACTGTTTTATGGTTCGTTTTACCAATTCACATTGCCTTTAGTCCCCCCGATGCAGTGAACGTTTGTTTGTTCTTCCTCCAATTCCACCTGAGGATGAGGAGTCGGTTAGTATTTCACGCTGCAAATTGGGGTTTCAAGCCTTGCTAATTAATTCGGCACTTTGTATATTATCGGAAAGGAAAAGACGAACCGTCGTATTGCATCAGGACGGCTTCTTATACCCCAGCAGCTGCCAATTAGGTTACTGATTGAGTCATCATAAAAGCATATGATTCTGATTTTAATTGGGGGACTTATCTTCCCTAAGCCTATGCGCGCATTGCCTTCCAAAAACCTGAAGTTAATTGGAATTTTTCAGTGTGTTGGCTTGGTACATCTCTTGAGATATCATAAGCTTTAAGCATCAATTAGCACCGTCGTATTGCTGCCAAAACTATTCCGAATGGTATCTTCCGAGGAGACTTGCCTACTACTGGGGACGCTCGAGGAGAAGCACAAAAAGGACAGGCATCGGACGACCGCCACGAATGTTCTGAAGGAAGTGGAATGTAATTGATTGGGAGGTAGTGAGCATCCCTATCCCACCTATGATAGTGTCAACCTAGGGGAGGGAAGAAAATAAGGACCTTTGACCTCAGTGATGAAAATACTGAGGGGAGTTTGGTATATTTTAGTAAAACTTTAGACCGGTTTAATCTGGCACCCTAATTTAACGTCAGAAGTCGTATTCTCCTGATGAGTGCTCATTCAGTTCTGATTTTGAGTTGTAAAGCCTAAAATTGAGGCTGAAAACCTACGGTTCAGTGGCATCTATGTGTTTCTTTGCTCCAAGACCAATGATCAATATCTTGGGACTGGTAGAAAGAGGTACCAGGACACTGAAGTTGTTGATCTTGACTGTTGACTTTTATTATTTCAGATGTTATAATATATCTGCAAAACAAAACAAACCGAGACACATCAACGGTCTCAACCAATAACGGCGCACTTTGTAACAATCACCGCCCAATGAAGGAATCAATCTCGTCAGATACTTCTTGCAGCTTCATCAAGACCCCCGTTTCCATCTCTCATCTTCCATACTCAGGAGTGCTGGGAAATTGTGGACTCAAGAGCCAGAACCTGCAAAATCATGTTAGGAAGCGTAAAAGGTCATTTGAAAACCGGGTTCACTTACCAAAGCAGTTCGGCAGGGAATATAGATATGAGTCCAGTTCTTCCTGTTGTTCCATTCCATAGGGGTAGTGAAGAATCGGGTATTCTCATCGACACGGTTGTGACCACCAACATCTTTGCTATCTGTGTTGAGAACGACACGGTAAGTTCCTGCGACTTCAATTCCGATACGGTAGTCGCTGAAGCTGTTGGTTGGGTGGAAGTTGAAGATAAAGACCAGACCACCGCGCTCAAACACAATAACCTTATCACCTTCATGTTTCAATGAGATATAAGCCTGCGGCGCATGGAGCCAACCATATTTGGCCTCAGTCTGGTTCATCAAGCGGTCAAAATGATCGAGGAACTTGTATCGGAGCAAGGGATCATCCGTAAGGTTGAGCTGTCGTCGAGCATACCAGAATGAGTTGTTGTTGCCCTCACGTGGGAAGTCGAGCCACTCAGGGTGACCAAACTCGTTACCCTCAAAGTTCAGATATCCCTCTCCTCCGAGGCCATGCGTCACAAGCCGGATCATCTTGTGGAGTGCCATACCGCGATCAATGACAGGAGTCAGGGGCGACAGAGTCGACATGTTGGTGTACATTTCAGCGTCACATAGATGCATCATGAGTGTTTTGTCACCAACAAGCCTGTGCATGTTAGTGGCTGAAAATGAAACAAGTCTAAGGAGCATTAACTTACGCCTGGTCGTGGCTCTCAGCATAGGCTATAGTCTTCTCGCCATGTCGACGGTTGGTAAGCGTATGGCAGATGTTGCCGATGTCCCATTCGTCATCCTGGAGTTCCTTCAGAATCTTGATCCACATATCAGGAATGGCCATGGCAAGGCGGTAGTCGAATCCAACGCCACCAAGAGAAAGCGGCAGGCAAAGCGCCGGCATACCAGAGACATCCTCAGCAATGGTAATGACCTCAGGATAGAGTTCATGCAGCATTTCATTTGCAAGCATCATATAGACAACAGCCTCCTCGTCAACATCTGCGCCGAAGTACTCATGATAGCCACCGGAAAAGCCCCTGTTGAGATTAGCACGGTAGGCCGATACAATTGTGAAAGTGTCACTTACGTGCCCATGCCATGATGAACATATAGCATGCTGGTAACTCCGTCAAATCGGAACCCGTCGAATTGGTACTCGTCCATCCAAAAACGCAAGTTGCTCAACAAGAACCGCATCACCTCGTGGTGGCCGTAGTTGAAAAGCCGGCTGTCCCACTGATCGTGTCGGCCCTTGCCGCCACCATGGAAGTAATGGTGATCGGTACCATCAAACTCGTTGATGCCATCGAGGACGTTCTTGGAAGCGTGGCTGTGAACGACATCGAGCAGCATGGTAATTCCGAGGCCGTGTGCGGTATCAATGAGCTCCTTGAGGTCCTCGGGAGTACCGTATCGACTGCTAGCAGCAAAGAAGTTGTTGATTTGATAGCCAAAGCTGGCGTAGTAGGCATGTTCCATCACAGCCATCAGCTGAATCACATTGTAACCTAGGTTCTTAATTCGTGGAAGCATGTTCTTGGTAAACTCCTTGTAAGTCGCAACCCGCTGGTCAGGGCTGGAGATTCCGACATGAGCCTCATACACACGAACACTTGCAGGCTTCTTAGGCCGGGCGTTTTTGAACTTGTATATCTCGGAGGCTGGAGGGTTCCAGAAGTGAGCATCGTATGCGGGAGACACAGACAAATCCTGTGTCACGTACTTGATCCAAGCCGGAAGTCGATCAACATGCTCACCATTGGGCAAGTTGAGCGAGATCTAGGGACACATATTAGATGCGATGTGTTATAATCGTGTCTGGATTTTAACCTACCTTGACTTTGGAAAGATGAGGAATGGCAGGCTGTCCATCTTGGGCAGGAATTGTAATCTCGAAGACGCCGAAATCGTCCTTGGTCATGGGATGAGCATTGCGGTCCCAGTTATCTAAGGCATTTTGTAAGCACATTGGATAGACGATTGAGTTTGGATACGTACTAAAGTCGCCGACCAGGAACGCTGCAGTGGCATTAGGCGCCCATTCACGGTAAATAATGTTGTTACTAGCATCGAGGTTGAAGCCAAATTTCTCAGCGCCCTATAGGCAACAAGTATCAGTAACGGGACTCGCCGAATGGGAAGCTGGAAGCCTACCCTGCTGAACTTCTCAAGGCCACCTTCGGTGTCGTTGATGGTCTTGATCCAACCTTGAGTTTTAGAGAAGCGCCTTCTGAGGGCTTCGCTGAAGGGCTCCAGCCAAGGATCGAGCTTTACAACGCCTAAAATACATCGTGAGCGTGGCGTTCTTGGATATCAGATCATCACATGTCAGGCCATGCGCAGACTTACCTGTACCGTCGTTGGGAATTTCACCTGCAGCACCGCCAGAGCGATTGGGGTCCAAGGAATTGGACGAGTTTTCAACAATTGCGGCCATTTTTCAAAGTCGAATTGACAATACGACGCGGTTGTAGAAGGGAGGCAGGTCTCGAGGTGGGCGGGGTAGTAGGGATATTGGTGTTGCAAGCTTCAGACAATTGTTGAGCTTCAAGTGAGACACAATTGAGGGAGATGAAGAATCGACACAGAAGCACAAAGGATCTTAAAGCAACTTCCCAGATGAAAAGAGGCTTGAAAATTAAGATGAAGAATCAGAAAATTGTGGCAACAGAAGTAGAACTGCAATATCAGAGACCTTGCAACCTCCTATCTAGCTCATTCGCCTAAGGTAAGGTAGGTAACCAACCTTTCAGTTTCCCACCCACTCAGAGCTTTATCGATAAGTTGGGATGACGTCGCGAATGGTGAATTTCTCTCAACGGCTACGGTACGTATCTGCGCGCTGTCCCTTAAATGGAAGGCTTTTTCAGTCTATGTGCCTGCAACGCTCAACATGTGGTTGAGAGGGTGACATTGGACCCAACCAGGAGCCTCGTAATATCGCCACTTCCTGTAAAAGACTCTTCTGATGTTGCGCGAGAATCATGGTGCAGTTCGGACGGGTCCCATCAAATTCATGGAGCAAATACGGAGTACAGAGTAGTCTCCGCTCGCTTTGGGGTGCTTAGGGTGCTTGGGGAGGGCCGGGGGCTAGTATCAGATCCCCCATGTCGGCCCGGCTTGTTCAGCGGAGACGCCGCTGCAGTCTAGGCCTGTCAGTGGCTGCTGCGCGCTAACTATCAGCTCCTGCGCGCAATTCCATGCCTTGACGGTTAACCTGGGCTGGGCTCTAGTTAAGGTGCCTGGGTGCAAGAAGACTTCTGATATTAAATTAGGGTGCTAAAAATACTTAGTCGAAATACCTTTGAATCTATACTAAATTATGCTAAGTTTACCTAAGTTTACCTAAGGCTTTTTGTCACCTAGGCCCCTCGCCAGGTTAGGTAGGTACCTAGGTAACCTAAGGACCCAATGAAAGCGCGTCCACTCGACCCCGATAGCGGATGATGCCAGTCCCGAAGCTGGTGGTCAGGCAAAGCGCAAGTCAGTAAGGTATCATAACTTAGTAGGTAATCCTCAATTCCGTAACTACCTAAGGTACAATCATAGAAGCATCGTCTCTCTACGCCAGTCCTATATCCAATCTCGCTGTAACAATTTATTTCCATGCTATCGAACTGATAGGTTCTATCGTCGGCCTAACTCTCGCACGACGGCAGTAAGCTGTAACCGATCCCCGCATCCCGTCATCGTCGGCCCAGATATACTACAACTCAGTCGACTGTCGACTGTCGCCTGACGCTTCGCTCTGTATCATCCTTCAATATTATGCAAACTGAATATATATCATAATGTCGCCCTTTGTAAGGGCACTCCCTACCTCTCGTTGCTGTCTTTGTCATCTCTCCCACTATGTCACACGGCCGGTTCCTACTACGACACGTTGCCTATCCTCCTACAATTCTCGATTACGACAACAATACCGCTATATCTCGGGCTCCTCTATAGCTTCACGACGCAACAACGACTTCAATTCAGGCTTCAGCAGTAGCTATGACCCATCAGTCGACTCGGGGCGTGGCCCCATGTTCAACAAGACCAACTTCGGCGTACCGCATTTCTACCCACGCGATCTCAAGAAAAGAGTAGACGACTACGTCGTTGGCCAGGACCGGGCTAAGAAGACCATATGCGCAACCATCTTCAATCACTACCAGAATCTACGGCGAAGGCACCAACACGAGCACGAAGATCGGAACAGGCGGGATAAGGTAATGCGCCAAAGGTTTGCGAGAGACAGAGAACTGCACCAGAAACGTCGTGAGATGCACCCTGTCGAAGGTCAGCGTGTACATGGTTCTATCCCTGAGCGCTACGCTGCTGATACTCTTAAAGATGAGTTCCCGGGCCATAATGAGTCGGTCCGTGCGCTTCACGATAACCACGAATTCGATGACGACCCAATGGACCATCTCTATGTTGCAGAGGAGATAACAGTCCCCGACCACGTTAAGATAGACAAGAGTAACCTCCTTCTGGTCGGTCCCACGGGTGTTGGCAAGACTTACATACTAGAGTCTGTCTTCTTCTATCAACTGTTGAAACGACCAAACTGACAGAACTTAGAACACTAAGCAAAAAGATAAATGTACCCTTCTCTATCTGTGACTGCAACTCCTTCACTCAGGCTGGATACATAGGGCAGGACGTTGAGACCTGCATTGAGCGGCTCCTCATCGAAGCCAACTATGACATCAAGGCAACAGAGCACGGCATTGTTGTTCTTGATGAATTCGACAAGATTGCAAGGCGCGAAACGACTACTGGTCGGGATGTTGGGGGCGAGGGTGTTCAGCAGGCGCTGCTGAAGCTCGTTGAGGGAACAAAAGTCACCATCAATGTCAAGGACAACCGCTCATCCCGATCTACGCAACCTATCACGACGAACTATAGCGCATCTGGGCCATCTTCCTCGACTCCTCAGGCGGCTCCTCCAGGTGGCAAGGTTGACCAGTATACTATTGACACTACCAACATCCTCTTTGTGTTCTGTGGCGCCTTTGTCGGGCTAGACAAGACGGTCCTGAAGAGGGTTGCAAGACCGACAATGGGGTTCGGCGGAGAACTTAGGGGACGCTCCTCTATGTCTGGCACCAAGCAAACTCTGCCGTCAGAAACATATACGCATTTGCCTCACCACAACCCTCAATCAGCTTCATCTTTCACGCCCCTAGATCTTACCACTCCTGCTGATCTACAAAGCTTCGGATTCATTCCCGAGTTGATAGGGCGTCTACACAATATCTGTGCTCTCAGCCCGCTTTCTAAAGAAGATCTTTTACGTATTCTGACTGAACCCAAAAACAGCCTTGTTGCTCAGTATACCGCTCTTTTCGAGACGTACCCTTCGCGATTATTCTTCACAGAGAGATCCTTATATGCTATCGCGGAGCGAGCTGCTGCTTCAGAAACAGGGGCACGAGGTCTCAAAATGGAGATGGAGCGTGTCCTAGCGGAGCCCATGTTTGATGCTCCGATGCCTTATGTACTCATCACCGAGGCATGCGTAAAGGGAACGGACAAGGCAGGATACTGGGGCAAGGACGGCCGGTTCCAGGTGGACAGAAGAATGCAAGCAGAAGAGATGAACCCAGCCAAAGGGGAACCTGAGAACACATTTGAAAAGTATCGAGAAGCAGGACAGAGCGGAGGCTAGGGGAGGAAAGAAAACACAGGACCTTGACCCTAAGCAATCAAAATATTTAGGTAAGTCTAGTCTAAACTTAGAGGGGTCTTTCCTAAGTTTATTTTGACACCCAATATCAAGGTCCGGTTTTTTCTTGCTCCCCGAGGGGTGGCTAAGTTCAATATCATTGGAAACGAGGCGTATTGGAGCAATTACTATTTTGATCAACTGGGTTTAATGTCGACAGAATGGTCAGGCAAAGCTTCAGGTATGGTCCGACAGAGATAGGCAAGCGAACAAATTCAATCAAACAAATGACTCGACTCGGGTTTCGTTGTTGTAGTACAGTATTTACACCAAGAGGACTTGATATCCCTGGAGCGACCTCGAAACCTCTGGTCATGTCCATGCGCACCAGAGGCCCTTTTACACATCAATACGTCTCCGTAGAGTCACTCCAGCTTCTAGCACAAAGGAAACGATGATGTGTATTGAATTTAGTTACCCTTGGGGGGAGACTGGACCATACCCTTGCCAGCATAACCAGGAGAGGTGATACCGGTAAAAGGATCAGATTTTTGGTTCTAAAAGGTACCATTAGCCAGGCGACCAGATGCGACGTAGACAAGATGGAACATACCTTGAGGAACTCGTTGGTCTCCTCCTGGTACTCCTGGGTCATGGTGTAAGGAGCGGGCTTAGCGACAACACGGACAGCACCAAAGAGAGCAACACTGGCGGCGAGACCAATGAAGACACCCCAGGCGACGCGAGCACCGGTTCCAGGGGGGTCGACAGCGCGGGGCCCGTGAGGACCGAAGGCAATCCAGTAAGCTGTTGAGAGAGTTTGAGTTAGTTTTATGGTTGTGACGCAGTTATACATGGTGATGCAGGGAATGGGCCGTTGATGTAACGGGCAAAGCTATATCGAAGCCCGATCTACCAATCAGAAAGACGAATTGGGTGCTTGGGTTCTACATGATGCAATTGAGACTCGTGAAGGGCCCAATGCAAGGCTGAAGCTGTGCAATTGAGGTGTTTGTCGAGGGAATCATCAATGACCGGCAAGGCTGAGGCATGTGTTGTGATGTGTTATGGTGGATGTGACCCAATATCTCGGCTACGCGGGCGGGATGGAGGTATTTTCGCAGTTGATGAGAGTTTGTGACGCACCAGCTTTCTTCTCCTGGAGGGTCAGCTCGGTCCAGTTGGACTGCATGCGATCACGCAGAGCCATCCAGAGCTCGGCCTGCTCTTGCAGAGGCATGCCCTCCCATCGCTTCTCGATGTTGGCGAGGGTCGGGTTAGAGATGGCGTGAGTTGAGGCAGCTCGGGAGGCCAGGGCGGGAGTGCTGCGCACCAGGCTCTTGCGCAGCAGGTTGGAGGCTGATGTGCGCAGCATCGTGAACGGTATATGTGAGGTAATCGGCGATGACGAGACGAGCGGGAGAGAAGCTCAATTGGTGCGCTCGAGAGCGTGGAGTGCGAGTGCGAGTTCGAGAGAGGTTTCGTGGAGAAGAAGGCGAGTTATTCGGGGAATGTCAGAATTAGCAAGACGGGAGCAATCATACGATGGGTCTCTCTTGCCTCGGGCTTGGATTGGTGCATTTTCTGATCACGTGATCTATTCTTTTCCTTGTTGCCGGTTTTGCACGAACTTGATGAAATCGCCTTGTCCATGATTGGTCAAAGCTTACAAGACACTGAACCCAATGGCATGGATCAGATGTCATGAATTAATTGGACTTGATATTGATAAGTATGACAGTGGTCGAGACGAAACAGTTTCAGGTTTATCCAAGGTTCCATCGCATGTCTTTCTTGAATCCAAGAGTTACATTCAATCTCTCACTAAATTCCAACCTGACAAACTTTCATATCACAATGAATACAGTGACTTCACCAGTTAATAGCGGACAAGGATCAACAGTAAACACCAAGTGTGCTCAGCTGATTGCGGCAAGGTTCGGAGGTTTAGGTCTGCAACTGGCTCTAGAGACGCGAACATGCCAGAATCCGGTAAGACTCTCTGTATCAAAAAGCCGATCGATGAGCACTTCTAGAGTTGCTACTCCTGTTCTTATTAACCATCACCTATTGCTGGTGACTGCAAGTATGCTTCCTACTCTATCTATACGGAATGGAGATGTTCTCATATGCCTGCCTCAGATCCTAATGCCGACTTTTGCTCGTTCTTCAATGCGTTCCCTCAAGATCTTACAATCCTAACATAAACACGCATACTGTCTATCCATCTAGAACTTGATGTCAAACAAGTTCTTTCTTCGAATCCTTTCGCCGTACTTGTAAAAGATAAACGGCAATGGGATTGCTGCAGCTGCAATGAAGCCCAGCAATGAGGTTCCCCATCCATAACCTAGGCTCTTGTACATACTTCGTCCTGCAAGAGGTAATAATGCTCCAACCAGCGAACGAAGTACAGTGCTTGCAGCAATTGCAGACGCAGCATACTGAACGTAGGCATCGACCAGGTAGACTGAGATACACATCTGATCAAGAGTCAGCAAGCTGAAATCGGGTTGCAGCATGTAGAGGTAGAGCACTTACAAATACGATGATCATACCACATCCCAAGAATGAAGTACCAATGATGGGCACAATCCAGTGGTCTTTATTCTCAGCAGACCATCCAAACATAAACAATCCAGCCGGAACAATAAAGCAAGCCCCCCCCATGAACGGAAGTCGATACTCTGGCTTGGGCTCCCCGCCATTCTTGCGAGTGAGATACTGAGCGAAGCGATCTATTGATGCTCCAGAAATAACAAGGCCTGTCAAGGAACCAACTCCGAGACCAATATACGACAGGCCAACTGATCCGCTGGAGAAATGATATTCTCCCTCAAAGAGTGTTGGCATGGCTGTGAAGAGGAGGTATAGATACCCGTACACCAGAGCCATGTAAAATGATAGAAGCGACACGATCGGCGCAAAGAGAAGCATCTTGGTAGGTCTCGTAATAGCCAGACGGAAAACTTCTTTCGTGGTCGTGCCATTGTCAAGGACTGAGCGAAGCTTAGTGTTCCCTGTGTCTTTGCGCAGCTTCTTGGTCTTCTTCTCAAGAAGAGCGTACGCATATGTTTCCCTCATAAAAATGAAAGCAACAATCGTGATCGCACCAGCCTATTGATAAGCAATGTCAGCCTTTGATTCAACATTCAAGAATAGATATAAGATTTCACTTACAACAATAGCGACAACCCAGAAAGACCATCGCCAGCCCTTTGCTGCCGAAAGATATCCACCAGCTGGAGTTGTCAGCTTTGGGCACCACTCAACCTAAAGTTTCACTTACCAATCGGTCCAATTACTGGTCCAAAAAGAGGTCCCAGAGCCCACGAAGACATGGCAGCTCCACGCTTCTCCTTGGAGATCATATCAGCTAACGAGCCAGCTCCGATTGTCAGCGGGCATGATCCAGCAAGGCCAGCAAGGAGTCGGAATGCTATTAGTCCCCCCAGGTTAGGGGCCTTGGCGCACGCCACAGTGAAGGCGACGAAGAGAACATTGCAAATGTGGTACAGCGGGAGTCGGCCGTACATTTCGGACAAAGGCGCGATGACTAGGGGTCCGAAGCAGTAACCGAGAAGATATACGGAGACGATGAACGATGCCAGTTGCTCATTTGTCGAGTGGAACTCCCTCATGACTTGGTCGATACTTGGTGCAAAGATGGAAGACGCAAGCGGCCTGGAAGTGTTAGGTGAGTGAGCTGTATGAAAGGGAAATGAACCGTTCATACGTGACGAATGTAACCGATGAGACGAGGATTACATTGATTGTCTTCTTCTTCGCTGACCAGTTCTGAGGGTTGGCTGGGTCATCAGGGCCGTCCCAATTCACAACATTGAGGTCATCGGAAGGAGGATCATCGAATTCGACTGACGTTGATCCCTCTTCAAGATCCCTTTCGTTCTTCTTGAGATCCTCTTCGGGTAGTGGTGCTGGAGTGGCAGCACTGACCAGCTGATCGTCAACTTCGACGTGTTTCATGCTGTCATGTATGTATGTACTCGAGGGAGCAATTCGACATTTATAGTTAAGTTCAGCTCATCCGACAGTCTGAGTTCTGGCCCACAGCATCAGGCAAGAAGATGCTCGTGTAAGGCTGAGGGTCTAAAAAGGGTTTGAAATGGTTGGGTAGGGGCCTGTTATTATATGCTTGATCCCCAGCAGATCTAAAGCTTCCCTAGAGGCACTAATGCATACTACAAACGAAAGGACTATTTGAGCGGGAGCCTCAACGGCAAACTGCTTATGTCCGTGTCTTAACATCGAGGCCGGTCTACCAATCTGGAGACCGGGAGTCATTGGGAAGTGGGTGTAGATGATCCAAGGATTCCAAGCCAATCTCGACAATGGTATGGATTGGTAATAGTCACAACCCTCGCTATTCATCCAGAAGGATTTATCATACCGAGCCAATAGTTCCAATCAAATCGAACAAATAGGGGGGATAAGCAAGCAACCCCAAATGTAAGGAAGTAATGTTATAAGTTGTCCCGTGTCGGAGTCGGGGCCATGGATATTCCGCGGACTTTCCATGGGGAATCGCATTTTCGCCCGTTCTTAATCACTGTCTATTCATTCTTCACAACAAAGCCAAGAAAAAAACCACCGTAACACTGTGACTGAAGCTATGGGTCGCCAGCCTCGTCAGCGTCCTGTGTCTTGCAATTTCTGCCGTGTGCGCAAGTTGCGCTGCAGTAGAGAATTTCCGTGTTCCAATTGCACAAGCCGCGGAGTTCAATGCCAGGCTCAAGACCCACCCCGGGCATCGGGCCCGTCTTCACGGCCGGTTTCTAAACGTGCAGGCGGAAGTGTAAGCGGAGGCGGAGGCGGAGGCGGAAGTGGAGGAACATCTTCTACGGGAAAAGAGGCGGACATTCTCTCACGATTGGAGAGGCTGGAAGCTCTTCTCGCAGAACGAACCAAAGAGACTGACTCTAACTCTAACTCGAACTCGAACTCGAACTCTCGAACAATATCATCAGCCCCTTCGAGTGTAGAAGGCAGTGATGTTGCTTCCCGGACACAGCTGGAGCCTCTAAAACCTTTGCCAATCAATGTTCAGAACTTGACGGCTGATGCTCTTTGGCTCGAGAGTTCATGCCTTGGCCCAAAGCCATCAGTAAGTCCAAAACTCTTGGCACCACTCAACAAGTCAACTCACACAAGTTGCCTATTTAGGAATCCGTATTGGTTGACAACATTGTTTTCCGCATATGTCCTATACGCTCAATTGCACAACCGTCATGTTACATCTTTCAAAACTCAAGTGTTCCCTCAGGTTTCCTGTCTCTGGAACCAACAAGGTGCATCTGGTTGCCTCAACGACATGAAACCAAGGTTTTGCTTCACAAGTACACCTCGGTCATCACTTTTATGCATCATATTGTGCACAATCCAAGCCTGTATAAACTCGTCGATGAGGTCTACGATGCCGTTGAAAAGGGGACACAAGTTTCGTTGTGCTCGGTTCTCCTGATGCTTGCAGTCTGCACCAATGTCACATACGCATGGACAGCAGTAGACAACAACATGACACCTCTCTTCTCTGATTATAAAGAGGCAAACAACCAATCATTTGGATGGCTCAAATCAACTTTTGATGTATTCGATGCATCGCAGCGGAGGTCGGAGATAGGTCTCGAGTTGGCTCAGGGTCTCATCATCGTGTGTTTCGTCCTGTTGAACGTGGAAGGAGTTTCCTCCCGAGCTCGAAGCTGTTTCTTCAATTCCATCACTATTTGCCGTGAGCTCGGACTGCACCGTCTGGATCACCCTCACAACCCGCCCTCGGTGCAAATACCCCCGCTCAGTCCTCTCAAAATGGAGACTGCTCGGCGAGTTTGGTGGTACCTCGTGGGTACAGATGCGTAAGGCCTCCACGATAAACTAAATAGCGTTTGATCTAATGGTTCACAGCATGATATCTCGATTCCCAGGGCCGCATGAAGGCACCTACCTGATCAATCCAAGGCAAATGAATGTCAGAAAACCTCTGAATGCCGACGATGAGGATCTTGTAGAAGGACAAGAGTTGGTGGGAAAGCCAATAAATTGTTCCACCAACATGTCTTATTTCTTACAGAGGTTACGTCTCGCTGAGGTCCTCCGCAACTTCACTGACCGAGTACCTCTCGCAAATTCCTCAAATCCAGATGTCCACTCATACGACCTTGTTTTGGAAGTTGATGCGGCCATCGAGCAATTCATCGAAGATCTGCCTCCATTCCTCAAGTTTAATACGGATTACCTACAGCAGCTCCCTGCTACAGAAACTCGTAAAAGACCAGGGCTGATTATTCAGCGTCATATCATGAATGTCTTTGTTCATGGCCAAAGATGCAAACTTCATCTCCCATATCTAGCCCGTGGCGCAGTCGAGTCTACGTACGCTCGCTCCCGGCGCGTGTGTCTTGATTCGGCGCGCATGGTCATACAAACAGAACACCAGCTCGAGAAGGAAGCTACAACTTTTAACTCGACACGGCTCAGGACATGTTTAGTATTGCATAGTGTATTCATCGCCAGCATTGTTCTTATCTTGGACTTCTGCCTAGGCGCCGATGCCGACGAGAAAGAACGAAGACGAGATGACTTATTGGAAGCATGGGACATATTGGAAGCGGCCAAAGAAATCTCTAGACCTACGGCTCGCATACAAGATCTATTGACACAGGTGATGAAGAAGCATAAAGTGACACTGCCAATGGGCAAAGAGAGGCAGAGACCGGTGGAATGTGAAAATCTTCCACCTACACCAAGCTCGTCAACTGCCATGTTGTCTAATGGCACGACACCAAATGATCCCATAGCATCTGTCCAAGAGTTGAGCGAAATGGGATTGAATATGGACTTGGAGGGAATGGATTGGGAGAACTTACTTTGGGGTTTAGAGGCTCCTTTATTCTGAGGTTCCGCTCAACAGCAACCGACGAGATGGTTGGTAAATTATATCACCTATCTTAATTAACAGTGTTGACTTTGTGACTTGTCTTTCAAAAAGATAGAACTCAATGATACTTAAACAGTAATTCGCAAAGAGGCCTTCACTTCTTGAACTTATCAGGATATCCAACAGTAATATTTGATATAAAATTATACGGAGTCTTGTGTGGCACTTAATCAAGGACTGTGGACTGCACTTATTTTGCGGCAGATAAAGACTCCTTTACTATCGTCCTCAATCACGAAGCGATAGACCGATTTCGGGAGGACCCAGCCATGAGACGTCTCCATATCAGGGTCCAGGCGTACATTGTTAAGGCGAAGGTTCGAACCGCCTTCGTCTTTCTAGGCTCAACGGGTCTCTGGGAGCTCGTTGCAACGTACTTCGTCTAGGAAATAGGTCTGTCAAAAACGGGTTTAAACCGATACTGTGATAGTTGCTCAAGGTAGTTGTCACTGTGGCATTGTTCGCAATTCGGGTCTGCTATTCAAATCCTTGGAAATTTGCATATCATAGAACATACACTAAAGTTTGTTCATATAGGTATCTAGAACCGCAAGCCTCTTCTAGTTTGCAGATCATATTGGTCTCACTATCATCTGAAGATGAGTTACTATATACTAAACGCTAGGTCACACTAAATGACGAATGAAGAGAGGCAGCTATATTTTAAATTGCCGATGTGGTCTCTACATGGCGGTTATACCTATGTTTCTCATCGGCTTTTAATATTATATATAGTTACTACTAATAGCTTTAAGATATTATAGATCATTTAGTAGACGAGATGATGTATGTAACAAATATTGGTAGATCAGTATCAGAGTATGCATTTAATGTATCTCCTTGAGCTCCTAATTATAACATCACGTTACAACTCTCAGTGCTCCACTCGGACCTCTGCGTTCTTATCCAGCCCCCTCTCGTTCTGAGGCTCTCTTTACTTCGGGACTCCCTATATGTAAATATCTGCTCGTGAAGGCCCCTCTGCTGTTGTTAAATTGACAGTAACAGCGAGCGCAATCCATAAAGAGGATTTAGTAGGCCAAGAGATGCCAGAATAGCTCATCGTCGACCCACATCAGCGAGACCTGGCACCGTATAAGGTTGGTGATGTTATTTGAGCTCTGTAACAGAAATAGTTTGGGATGTAGATATTTGTAGTCGGGCATTACATCGACGTGTCTGAGAATAATTTCTCCAGATAGGCCCGTCCAAAGACAGCGATCTCCTTCTCGCTTGCTAGGTAGGTAGTTGCAAGTGTTATGTGGCCGATTTAAATTTTGGCCGAGATCTGTCAAATTTTTCTTCCAGCTTCTTTCCTTCCGCCCGTCTCATTCTCACTTGGAATGGAGTCCCTCGAGGAAGAGTCAACCTTCTTTTGCGCATCATTTGCAAATATTGGCTGAAAAGTGTAAAATCCTGTAGTTATTTTGCTGAGCATGACGACTTTGATAGAACGGGCACTTCTAGCGAAACTAACCTCCAACCACACCGCAAAAGACAGTCAAAGCCAATGGCAATGCTCTCTCGAAAACATGCATTTTGAGTATATTATATCAGAAGGAAGCGATGGTCTTGAAGTATTTCGACCAACCTCTAGTTCTGAGGTCGTTAAGTTAAGGGTGGGTAGGTAGCCACCTGAGGCTCGAACTCGAAATAATTGGGACCAGATTTATAGTGGATCGCATACACTGAAGCTTCCGGAACGTGCCCCACTAAAATCTTCTCAGGGAACGGGACCTCGCGTGTTTGTACGGATGCGCTAAGCACTTGCACTTGCACTTGCCCCCGACGCGTCTCCCGGTTTCCTCGACCGCGTTCCCCGCCACGCCCCGGCCATGAAATCAATTAAAGAGTTACGTACCTGCTGAACCGTGAACACCACTCTTGGTATCGATATTTCCAACTCCATCTCTTTACTGATTCAAGTGGTTTGAGCGAAAAACTCACAATTCCATCATGTATGCGACAAGATAATGTCATACGGACCATGAGTAACTGGAAAGAACTGGGAGAAGTCCCTGATTCTGAGGAAGAAGATGGATTCGAGAGCCAAGAATTACCATCATTACCTACGATCACGCAGACGAATAAGACCATTAGTGAACGATTCAACAGTCAACAAGTTGACACGGCCAACCATGAGGAGAAGGATAAAGATCGCGACATCTGGGAGGTCCCCAATTCCTCACAGGAGCTTACCCACCATGCTCTTTCAACCAAGACACCTGCTCGAATACCAGGAGTAACGCCAAAGCAGCCCGAAAGCCATGGATTTCCCTCTGATATTTATGATATTCTTACATCATCGCCTCTATCATCCATACACTCGGATGTTGACCTGCCTGATATCGACAGCCTTGACCTCGAACGACCGAATGTGACGACCGAAGCCACACTGTCGAATGAAGCCCAGGAAATCGATACGGCCAGTAAAGAAACACCAAACATTGCGATTGAACGATCGTCGCCGCCTCCAGCTCCCGAGTTCGAGGACAGCCGGGATACTGAGCATCCATCATCGTCACTAGTCCTTGGAGATGACCATGCAATATCCATGCCTCGCCGAATTCTGGGCACTAGCTCCGAGAACCAGGCTGCCCAACAAGCTGCTATTCGTTACGAACGGTCATTTCGCCCCAGAAAGCCTATCCAAGAACGTCCTTATGCCATTGAATTGTCCCGCTACTCCAACACGCTCAAGAGCCATGGCGTCCGGCCAATCAGACTTGCAATGGAAGGAGAAAAACGACGTCGACAACAGGCTGAGCAAGATTCTTCGCAGGATAAGGACTTTGAAGATGATAGCCAAGGCTCAAACATACCGGAAATATCTGATGAGAGCCAATTGAAGGGTGCGGAGGACTTTTTGGACGCCTTGGACACACTCGATCTTCCCTCACCTTCGCCACCGAAGACGTCTCCAATGAACGATCGTGCTGGGCCCAGCAGTCAGGCAAGCTCGACAGGCGATACAGAAAACACGAGCATGGCCGGCGATGATCTTCCAGCTTTACAAGACTTGCTGAGACAGCCGATTACCACGACTTCGAGGCAGTCTGGCAAACGGAAATCGTCACCGTCTCGGTCTTCCACAAGGAAGCGCAAGAGATATGATATTGTTGACAGCGATTCTCTTGAACCTGCATCCGTTTTCAGACTTGGGCCCAGCACAACAGACTCGCCTGCCGCAGCGCGTAGTTCTAGACGACTCGCCGACGACGAGAAACATCAACATAAGTCTTCGGAACCTCCATTAGTGTCAGCCAAACAGACCGATCAATTTCTGAGGTTGACACGACGACCCATTGTCTGTAATGTGAGTGACTCCGAGGATGAACTCGCTGGCCCTACCACCGCCCAGCAGCTGGACCACGAAGATACCGCATCTCAATCTGAATCTGACACAGGCTCTGAGAGTGGTTCTGAGATTGTCAACACGGTTGGTCGTCGCATCAGGGGAGTTCTTCCCGCATCTTGGCTGCGGCTAGATCAGCAAGCTGGTCACAAGAAGGCCCTGAAGGACACCAATAAGCGAGCTGTTGCCTTTCCACCTGAACGGGAAATAAGACGAGGTGTTGCACAGAGGCGAGTCGCCTCGTCAAATTCCGTCACAAACTTTGAGATGTTCTTTGAAGACTCTGATGAAGATTCGCCAACACCTACATCAGCCCTGCGACGGGAAACAACTGACAATGTATTCCACAACCAAACCCGCTTAACCACTGATGACGGGCCTATAACCATTTCAGAAATCCTGTCTGATGATGAGGGATCTGTAGTCGAGGACAACGCTATTGACCCTATGTTTACTGGACGGAAACGACAATTGAAGCTTGCGGACTCTTTTCGTGGCCCAGCAAAACGACACAAAACTTCCGATGCTCAACGGAAACAAGTAGCACCCAGAGAACCCGATCAGCTCAGAATTACTAGCATGCTCGCTGGGACTTCTGTGCCTGCACCTGAGCTCGTCAAGAAGAAGTATCGCCATCCTACATTGATACGCAAGTCCAATGGAAAGAAACGGCCAACGAAGAACAAGTCATATGCACCACCTCGACTAAGTATTCTGGACGTTGTCGAAGCAGACGCACCACGGTTCCTCAAGATTGCTGCGAGGTCTGCTACCCGGCGCCGAGACATGGGCAGGAGTAGCCCTGGTAGAAAGTTGATCAAACTTGCTACTAGGGAGGACCATATTGACGCGACATCTGTCTTGAATAACTGGTGGGTCGGTTCGATCTCCCAACGCCAGTCGGTCACTGCTGCTCGAAAAGCCAAAGCTAAGCCGAACCCTAAGCACAGGGAAACGAAGCAACCTCTGCGTGAAACATCTGGGAATGGCTCTTCTATCCCACGGCGGATGCCATTGGCCTCAGGAGCATCTCGACGCCTGGTCAAACAAGTGAGCCAGGCAGGGTCAGTCAGGTATCAGCCGGACAGTACTCATGCAGAAACTCGAATGAGCCAGAACGCCCTTACCAGCACCCCCTTATCCCGTTCTGGCTCAGGAGTCGTGCGCCCAGCTCAACTAGAAACGGATGAAACAGACCAGACTAGTCGCTTCTTATTCAACGCAACCAAGAAACGTCTGGATCGTCTGTACCGGAAACAGCGTGGTGACCTTTCTGCTTCAAGCATCATGACCTTCGACCATGAACCCGATACGTTTTACTCAGGGAGTCCACCTCCCGAACAAAACCCAGTGCCTCTCCGAGTCGTAGAGGAACCATCTCAAAGCCTGAACAAATCGCGATTTCGGAAGAAGACCAAACCTCGACGAATTGATGTCGAAGCACCACAATTTAGTCGTGCCAATGATCCTATCCCCGTCGAGTTTGCCTCAATCTCAGAGCCCGCTCAGTCTATAGTGGCGAATGAGGAGAAGCTTCAAGGTTTGGGGCCGTATGGCACACAGTACACACATCATTTCGAAATTTTCCCTCTGGATGCCCAGGTCTACTTCCACGAGTCAACTCTTATTGGAAGTGGTGTATTTGAATCTGTATCAAGTGCCCCGAGCTGCCGACATCTACTGGAAACTCGACCACGGGTATCGTTTAGCTTTGGGGAGCAAATCCTCAGATGGGGCCGCTGGGACTCGCAAGTTTCCTCTGAGCTGGGTATGCTTCTCGATTCCATCGCAGACCAGCTCGAGTACACATCAGTCAACGAAGAAGCCCAAGACCCCAAATTTGTCAAAAGTGCTGCAGGGTTCATCATGAACTTCATGCTGAATTCTTTGAGCCTCACGGACCATACACAGGCAAAGTCTTTCGTTGGGAGGGCGCTTGAGGCGTTCCAGATATTCAATAGCCGCATACAAGCGGTACTGGGACGTGGCGATAACACCGCACAACCCCAGTATCTATCTATTGCAAGCATCTATGAATACTTGCTTCTTGCTGCGCTCTTTGTTCTGAGACTTTGCCAAAGTGATACTTCTCTGACGAATGATCAATTTCAAATGGAGGATCTAGTGAAGGGCTTGGCCAGAACTGCAATTATATCACTCTCCATGGCTGGAACGGACAACATCACAAAAGTCTACAGTGACCTGAAGAACTCACGGTTACGAGAGCGAGGATTGAGAGATGATGTGCCCGCCATTCACTCATGGCTTATTACCATCAAGACTCTGGAACATGCCCATATCCCTCGGGGCTCATTCTGGGACATTCTGTACGCCGTCATAGCCACGCCTGAGGTTTCAGAAAGCCTCGATGCGACTGAGCACGAGCGCTTGTGGGAAACTATGTTTCTTCTCCTCCCGCTTACTGAGTTTAACGACAAAGGTATCGTTGCTGCAGGTCGAAGGCATGATGCAGTTGTCGATGGCTGGGCATTGCCACAAAAACTGCTCAAGAAAGTTTTCCAGGTCTACAAGAATAACCCACGGCAGTCACCAAGCTTCAACAACTACTGTCGGGCACTAGTTCGCCGTTGCCACTATCTTGTTCAGCAATGGGGCTGGCACAGATGTGTAGCCGTGATTGGTGTCATCTTTGACTTCTTTGGCTCGCAGGACCTTGCTCATCTGCGCAATGAAGAGGTGTTCGCTTCGCCCAAGTTTCTGGATGATCTCGCGGGAAGTCCCTCACTGTCCGTTGATAAGGCCGACAAGTGCTTCCACATCTTCCTCAAGCTAGTTGCGTTAAGTATCAAGAAGCTACGCGCCGCTGGTTCGTTGAAAGACATCCGGAACCTGATAGCCCGAACGATGCCAAATCATAACCGGCAACTCCTAAAGGAGCAGACGATCCAGGAGCGTGATTTGGCTGCGTTGCGAAATCATCATGATCTGCTCTGCACCCTTTTCTGGGCTTCGCCGGCAGAACGTCGCCCAGGCGCCCATTTGATCGAGCGACTCGTCGCCCCAGCAAGCTCCCACAAAGAGGCGTGCTTAATCAATGTCAGAGCCTGGAACCAATTGGCCAAGTTTATCATCGCGTCCGGAGAAGCTACGACAGCTTTCAGACCGTTCGCACAGTGGCGGAACAGCTTTTTCCAATCCATGATGCAACAGTTTGATTCCGTACAGTCTGATATGCAACAGCAAGTCTTGGCCATGTCTAAAGATGCCAGCCATACAATCGACCCAGACTTGATCAATGCCGTAGTGGCCACGAACAAAAAGGCTACAATGGATGTATTGTATGTCTCGGTGGCAGCATCATTAGATGTTATGAGGCATGCGCCTAATTTGGAGGCCGCCACGTTCGCCCTGAACACACTGCAACTACAGCAAGTCTTCCGGCGATGCAGTGCATATCCCATAGAGCTCGACTGGTCTATTCTCCGTTCTTCCCTGTCCACCTTGGAGGTTTTCCTCTCCCGTGTTGATGAGTTCAAGGACGACGAAGATAGTCAACAGAGCGAGAGCCAAATCTTGAACTCAGCTCAAGCGGACGATGCTATCTTGGTGATTGATCACGACCTATCCAAAGCCTACTTCTCAATGGCAAGATGCATTCTCTCCTCACAGGGTGAAGTTGGTGAATCCCCTTCTGAAGCTGTGCAGAGATCCCAATGCACTGAGCAGGTCATAATCTTGACAGCCAAGCTTGTAGTAAGGTTCATTACTGGTGGACTGTTGCGCCTTGCCGATATATTCAAGCCAGGGAAATATAGCCTGTTCGAGGATGTTCCAGCCAAACTTGACCTCGACCAACGACGAAATCTTGTCTTATTCTTAACCACGCTCCTTAAGCACAACTTTGATGATTTCAGCGAGGCAGACTTTTCTCTTTCAGAGGTCTGGGCTCTGTCAATCGTCAAGCCAAGGCCATACCTATCGTATGAAACCCAATTTGCGGAGCAGCTGCTGCGAAAGCAGAAAGAATTCGTCCCAGACGCAGTCGTTGGACTTGCTATCAACCCGGACTACAACACAAACCGAGACCTCTTCGAATTCCTCATAACGTGGATGCGCAAGTCCTTGCGAGATGCTGGACCAGCGCTGAAGAAGGTCATCATGTCAGAACACTCCAAAACCCTCAAGTTGGTGATGCAGCAGATCATCGGAGATTTGCGGACCATGTCTCACGATGCCTCTGAGCATTCTAGCTATGTGGTCTTTGTTCGGGATATCATTGCGCTTATTAGAGCTCACGGCTCTGATATTTGCACAGTCGACAAGTATTTCTATCAGATCAGTAAGGAGTATTCGCCGTCTATCCAGGACCCGCAACTGCAAGTGGCTGGTATGATGTCTTATGGTCTTCGGCTGAGCGATGGGGACACCAAGGTCATACACCAGGTATTCTTCTTCCTTTCTAACAACTTCAAGATTGCACTCAAAGACAACAAGCTTGGAGACGAGGTTGAGTTTTTGTGCCGGGGAATGGAGAACCCGGGTATTCTATCTTTCATTCTGAACAAGATGCTACCAGCGATTGTCAAGATTGCGACAGACGAAAGCTCGATATTCCCCATGGTTGAAGTGTACGTAGGAGCACTGCGAGTTTTCTTCACCCGCGATGCAGTTCCTCGAGAGTTGGCACAAAGCGAACTGCCGCATGTGGTTGTTCTTTTACGTGCCATTGCCAACTTCTTTGATCAAGTCAGTAAGAAAGACGGACATCTCCGGGCCGAGGAAGTCCATCTGGTTACACAGCTGTTGACATTGTCAAACAGCCTATGGTCTCCTATATATGGCCTGTCACTTTCTGGAATATCTCGCGGTTCTTGGACAGATGCTGTGCAAGTCCTGAAGCATGTGAGGAACGGGTTGTCGAGGGCCGAAACATATATCTCTGACATGGTCAACCTTGAAGACTATTCCGTCAGAGCAGAAACCCTCCTATCCGGCTTTCGGCAACAGAGCATGGCGCCCCCACAGATTGGTGATGATGTCAGAAGCTTCACAGATAATCTCCTCAACGATGTTCGGAAGATCTGGGTCAACACTGGAACAAGGATCACTATTCAAGCGCCTGGCAGAGGTTTTACACAGACGCAGTCCAACCAAGGAACACCTGTACCAGTATGGAATGCAGAAGTCTTGGTGACCGTCTTGTACAGGGAGTTGAGGACATGGAATCATTGGTGGAACAAAGTGTTTGGCAAGGAGTCAAGACGAGTAGACGTGATTGAACCTGTCTTGTTTTAATCAGCATAGCAACGGCGTTGGGTTTACAAAGGTTTGCGGATTATGGATTGGAGTGCATGGGGGATTTTGCATGTGGTTTCGTTTCTCGGAATGAATAGAGTCTATGAAATGATATATATACGTATATATATTTCTTTATGTATTATATATACACCCGTCAACTTGAACCTGTGGGATATGTTCTGACGTGACTATTTACCATATAAGAAAGTAAAATAGGTAGTTGTTACAGGTCTAGTAGGTAGTTCTTAAGTAACTGCCTCTAAGTCAATGGTCGGCTGGTACCTTAAGGTACCTAGTAGGTTCCATTATTCCCCGAGTGACGTACCTATCCTGGACCGTGCAACGCGCCAAACGCGCGTATCTCGAATAGGTAATTCGTCAACTTCAAACCAGCAATTACACCCAAAACACGGTGGAATTGCCCAAATGCAAGGAACCACGATGGCTTCACTGTTTGGTCTTCCAGACGAGGCCATATTAACTCCATTGTTCGGATCGTTTCCTTGTCGAGAGCATCAAATCCGCTCCCTAGCAACGCTGCTGCATGTATGTCATGTTTACTTTGTTCCATCTTTCTACGTCAACTTGACAGACTGACAGCATGTAGCCCAGTGCAGCTCCTTGTCGAAACCTCGTCATCCACGGCGCAACGGCAACAGGCAAATCCGCCATCACCTCTCGACTTGTCTCTGATCTCGTCGCCAGCATTAATAGCGACGAATCCTCAGGGGGTCTACAAGCTGCTGTCGTCAACTCTGTACAATGCATCACAGGACGACATCTCTTCGAACGCATCGTTGGTCAGGTTGCTGAGGCGCTGCAGTGGGAGGAGGTGCCTCGGCGATGCGAAACGCTGGCGCAATTGACGGTTGAGATGGCCAGGATGATTCAGTATCCAAAGAGGGATGCGAGGTGGCGTTTTATCTTGGTGCTGGATGCCATTGATCGACAAAGAGATGCCCCGGCCACATTGTTGCCGGCTCTGGCGAGGTTATCAGAAATCGTGAGCTCCCAACAAACAACCTTGAAGCTTCCATGTGCAATGCTTACAATAACAAATGTCCAGATTCCATGCCTCACCTGCGTCTTCGTAGTCACATCTTCGCCCGCTGGCTTCCTACGGTCATCTTCGTCAGCGCATCTTCTTTTTCCCCCCTACGAAAAGAAGGAATTCGTTCGCATTCTCTCGCTCACGCCACCGAAACCGATTGCTACGTGCACGCAGCAAGAAACCGCCGACCTCTGGACTCGGTTCTGCGCCGCCGTTTACGACTCCCTCACAAAATCAGCGTCTCGCACACTGCCATCGTTTAAGCACAGCTGCCATGCGCTTTGGCCGCGCTTCACAGCGCCTATTCTAGCGGGGACACATCTGCCGAAAGAGTTCTCGAAGCTGCTAATCGCAGGAAGAGTGCATTTCCAAGATGAGTCTTTGCTCAACCCAAGCATTGTCTCTATCCGACCAAAGAATAAGCCCGTTGAAGCCGTCGCAACCAAAACTACAGCCTCAGCAACCGATCTCACAAACCTCCTCCCTACGACAGCTCGTCTCCTGCTGCTATCAGCTTACCTCGCCTCCCACAATGCAACCCGCCATGATCTCACACTCTTCTCGACATATCATCATGGCCGCAAGCGCCGCCGAGGAGGTATTGTTGCTCGGGGAGCCACACGGACGAAGCATCGCAAGATCGCCCGCAAACTCCTCGGCGCACACGCCTTTGTCCTCGAGCGAATGATGGCTATCTTTGCCGCTGTACGAAATGAATGGGCAGATGGCACTGCCGTAGGCGCCGCTGGCCTCGATGCAGATGTAGCCATGGCTGTATCAACGCTTGCGAGCTTGAGACTGTTGACACGAGTAGGAGGCGTAGGAGATGTCATGGATCGAGGAGGCAAGTGGAGGATCAATGTTGCATGGGAGGTGATACGAGGAATAGGGAGAAGTATAGGTGTCGAAGTTGAAGAATGGCTGATAGATTAATACCCGAAGCATAGAGGAGACCAGTAGTGCATCTCGATTAAAGCATAACATATATCGAGTAAGATTTCAAACCAGATCGTTCATACGTCATGCTCGAGCTGTGATTGCAGGCTCATCTATCCAAAACAGTCCAGCATTATCATTCCATATCCACGTAATGATACATTGTTTCCGGCACCCCCTTTTGAAAAAGGAGAGCCTCACAAGTGTCGTTGTGTCTTGTCTCTCGAAACAAAAAACGCCATCCTATGATATGTCATACAGGAACCCAAAACCCTTCATCTAGATATCGGGACATAAAGTAACAACAATACCTTACAAGAGAAACTCTAGCTCTCATATCTTTTTGATTGTTTGAATTCGAAACACCAAGACTGTTTACCAAAGAAATACGCAACCCAATACATCGTCATGAGAAACATCATGCAACGCCAGCAACTCGATCGCCTGGCTGCCATGTGTCTTCCTGTCTGGTTCCTGGAGGGAGCCAGCCTCCGTTACCAGTGCCAGGAGTACGGCTGCGAGGAGCATCGTCGTCTGACCTTTTTGGATCTTCTGCCGCAGATGGCCGACCAAAGTAGCCTTCGTGGTAGGGATAAGAACGGGCGTTGAGCTCAGTACTTTGGGGGGATTCCATGATAGGTGTTGGGCGCAATCCATTGTTTGTGATGGGAAGAATCGACGATCGCTTAATCTGCATTGACTGGGCCTTTTGATCGGCCTTGTTGCCAGACTTTGTTCGGTCATACAAGTACAGACCCAGAAAGGTGAGAGCAATGCCCACACCTTGTAGGGGTGTTGTGGGACTCCTGAACCATACCAGAGCCAAGACAATGACGAACACACGTTTGATGAGGCTGGCTACTGAGTAGGTCACAGGGGATACCATAGAGAGCAGGATAAAGGCGAGAATGTTCTGGCCAAAATGGAAGACACCGTTAAAGACAAACTCAAGCGTGAGTCTTCCATGGTCCATCGAGTTGGGTTGCTCATTCAAGTCTATCGAGCCCTCGTGGTAGAAGTTCATGAGAAGAGTGAAACCTTCAGACCAAAACCAGATGGGCAATGTGAGAAGGAAAGCCATGCCAGAAGAGTAGCAAAGTAAGTTGAGCTTATCCAGCTTCTTAGGTAGTGAATGGGGCGACTCAGCCTCAGCTTTAGCAGCCTCGTTGAAGAGCTTCTTAGAGAAGATGTTTTGGGTAACGAAGATGACGGTAGCCAAAAGAGCATGGATGACACCAATGAGCTCTCCACCATAGGTCGTTTTGCCCGAGCAGGCCAGCATGACACCAAACGTGAGAGGGATCAGAGACAGGTACGTCGTCTTGGGGTATCGAATGTCGTACACGATCCTATAAGCGAGAACGGTGAAAAGGGGTGAAAGACCCTTGATGGTATGGACAAGTGACACAGGGATCTTTGAGGTAGCTGTCGAACTAAGAAGGTGACCACCGATCTGGAATGCGGCTAAAGGCAGAGTCGTTCTGATAACGTCGCGAGTTGGCTTTCGAATCGGGTGCTTCAGGGCTGTAATTTTGGTTCGCAAGACTGGGAAGATGGTCGCAAGCCATGCCATGAAGATACACAACGAGGAGACGAAAGCGAATTGGACCAGTGTCAATGTAGCGGGCTTGTCAAAAGCTATCAAGATGGACTTGGAGGAGGTGTTTGTAAGGGCAGACGAAGTGTACCACAACAGGCACAGAATCTGTGTACCGCAACATCAGGTCAGCACATTGAACTGGTAATTCTGCATTTGGCTTGGGACTCGGGAAGAAGGGGCGTACAATGAGCTTTGGAGAGACGGGGGCACGTAGGGCATCGGCGATCTCGTGGGCGTTCTGGCTCACACTGCCATTGCGACCTCTTATTGTACGAATAGCATCCGTAAGGCTCTTTTGTCGATTGTGCCCTCGAGGAGCCGTTGACCAGCCGTTGTCTGACTTTGAGACGGGTCGCCATCGGTCTGAGGGACGAGGAGGTGCGCCGTTTGCCCAACCAGGAGGATTCAAAGGGCTCTCTGAGGGTAAATCGCCCAGGGGCGTATCGATGAAGTCGGGGAACTTTTCCATCACAGGAGAGTGATAAGAAGGGAGAGAAGATTAAATTGCGGCGCAAAGGCCAGATATTAAGGTTGCGTGTTCAGTTTGAATTGATTCGAATCGGATTTCAACGAGCGACAGATGACGAAGGCAAGATTCGAGTAACTCGTTATAATCGTTGACGAAAACGTATGTTCATCGCTTATCAAAGGGTCAACATGCACCTGAGGCTGTAGACCAAGGCGCGAGCTGCAAGTCGAATGACGAAGCCAAGCCCGAGAACGAAAGCGGGAGGGAGCAAACGACAGCGTTCGAATAAGGCGACGTTGCTGGCTCTAGGCAAATACGGACTACAAGCTGGTGAGGCTGAAGAAAAAAAAGAATGCCAAATTACAACCAAGTGCTGTAGCTTTTGTTGGATGGATGTGGATGGATGGATGGTGTTCACGTCAAAGTGGGAATGGTGCAAGTGGGATAAGCAAGGTACAGCCTATAATTAAACCAAGGGGCTCCAATAGAAGGGCGAATCGATGCCAGACAGATTGCACACGGGGGGTTACAGGGGCCCTTCCCTTGGGACCTTCTGTAATAAGCCTGTAACCAACATTACGTGGCATGCTAGCCTCCCTCCGCGGTTAGTCCGGGAGCCGCTGCTGATAAGCTGATAACTCACCTTTAACCGCGCTGAGCCGCCACATCTTACGTGAGCTAACCAACCTAGGCAAGCTAAGGCTAAGGTAGTTAAGGCTAAAAGCTACTACTCTGAGGTTGACGGGAGACAGACTTTTGAAGGCGTCGCGCAAAAGTCGTCTCCACCTACATCAGCTAAACCAATATCTCCGTTGGCGCATCCAACTGTGCTTTTGTTTCAACATCACTCTCCTTCGACTCCTGTGTGTATTGTCTCTGTAACTTCAGGGCATGAATAGGGACCCTAAGCAGGCCATTCTCGCGCTCGCCTTGTCCTACGC